CATTCTGCATCAACACCGCACCAAGTCCAATACGAGATGCGTCACAATATACTGTATATGGCCCTGAACCTGTGGGCAACAGTAACACCGGTGCGGAAGTCAAAGCTGTCTTGAGCTTCTGAAAGCTCGCCTCGCACTCGTCCGACCACTTGAACGGGACACCCTTTTAGGTCAACCTGGTCATCGGGGATTCTATAAATGAAAACCCCCCAACGAACCGACGGTAGTAACCCGCCTCCGGATCTCTGTAGCTGATGTGGGTCTAGGCCAGTCCTTGACTGCCTCAATTTTCTTAAGATCCACCTGAATACCCTCTACTGATACAACATGACCCAAGAAGGCCACTGAACTCAACCAAAACTCACATTTCGAAAACTTAGCATATAACTGCCTGTCTCTCAGAGTCTGAAGAACAGTCCGAAGATGGCGACTTTGTTCAACTGTCGATAATCTATGCACATCCTCATCGATCCGTCCTTCTTTTGAACAAACAACACCGGCGCACCCCAAGGCGAGACACTAGGTCTAATAAAGCCCTTATCAAGTAAATCTTGCAACTGCTCGTTCAATTCTTTCAACTCTGGCAGGGCCATGCGATACGGCGGAATAGAAATGGGCTGAGTGTCCGGAGCCAAATCAATGCAAAAGTCAATATCCGTGTCGGGTGGCATCCCCGATAGGTCTATAGGAAATACCTCTGGAAATTCCCGAACCACTGGTACAGAATCCATAGAGGAAACCTCAGCACTAGAATCACAAAAATGAACCAAATAAGCCAAGCACCCTTTTTCAACCATATGTTGAGCCTTCATATAAGAAATAACCCTGCTGATAGAATGCCCAGGAGTCCCTCTCTATTCCAATCGAGGCAACCCCGACAAAGTTAAGGTCACGGTCTTGGCATGAAAGTCCAATATAGCATGGTAAGGTGACAGCCAATCCATCCCCAAAATGACATCGAAATCCACCATATCAAGAAGTAGGAGATCTACACTAGTCTCAAGACCTCCAATAACAACCACACACGAATGATAGACACGGTCTACAACAATAGAATCCCCCACTGGCGTGGATACATACACGGGAGCACTCAAAGAATCACGAGGCACAATTAAATATGGAGCGAAATAAGATGACACATATGAATATGTAGACCCTGGATCAAATAGAACTGAAGCATCTCCACTGCAAACTGAAACCATACCAGTGATAACTGCATCGGAGGACTCAATCTCAGGCCTGGCTAGAATATCATAACATCGGGGCTGGGCCCCACCACCTTGAACCATATCCCTGGGACGACCTCCTGCTGGCTGACCTCCACCTGTAGCGACCTGGCCTCCACCTCTAACGGCCTGACCTCCACCTCTAGGGGTTGACCCCTACCTTTAGCTCCCTGACCCCTACCTCTAGCTGGCTGGGCAGGCGGTGTTAGAACCATAGCACGAGAACTCGGCTGCTGCGACTGAACACCCAATAATCTCGGACAAGTCCTCCGGATATGCCCCATACTCACCACACTCAAAATGTCCGTCTGAATACTGCTGCTAAGGAAACTGAGACTGACCTTGACGGGCCGGCTGACCGCGATATTAACTCTGAAGAGGAGGTGCTCTGATGGGAGCTGGCGGTGCACTATGAGCTGACTGCCCTGAAAGAGGTACATAAGGACCACGACCCCTTAAAGCTCCATGGGATGCCTGAAGCGCTGAATAAAACGGCCTGGGATGATGGCCTCTACCAAAAGTACCCCGACCTCCCGATGAGGTCCCACTGAATCCACCGGAGTGATGAGGCCTCTTGTCAGACCCCTGACCACTATCTTGAGCTAAAACCATCTCGACTCGTCTGGCCATATTCGCTGCATCCTGGAAGGAAATCTCACTCCCTGTCTCCTTAGCCATCTGCAATCTGATAGGCCGAGCAAGTCCCTCAATAAACCTCCTCACCGTCTCTCTCTTGGTGGGAAGTATAAGAAGAGCATGACGGGCTAAGTCCACAAATCTGGTCTCGTACTGAGTGACAGTCATAGAACCCTGCTGAAGGCGCTCAAACTGCCTCCGATAGTCCTCTCTCTGAGTGATAGGAAGATACTTTTCTAAGAATAGCTGCTTAAACTGGTCCCAAGTGAGAACTGGTGACCCCGCTGGTCTGGGCAAACAATAATCTCTGCACCATTTCTTGGCGGAACCTGACAGACGAAAAGCAGTAAAGTCAACCCTATTGGTCTCCACTATCCCCATGTTCCGTAGAACCTCGTGACAACTGTCCAAATAATCCTGGGGATCCTCTGAAGATGTACCGCCATAGGTAGTAGTGAAAAGCTTGGTGAACCTATCCAATCTCCACAAAGCATCAGAAGACATAGCTGATCCATCATCGGTCTGTGCTACAATACCCGGCTGAACTACCCCAACTGACTGAGCTACTGGAGTCTGAAACTGGGGGAGTCATCTGCTCCGGAGTGTGAGTAGCGAGAGTCTGTGCTCCTTCCCCAGCCCAAGAGACGACTGGTGCTACAGGAAGTATGCCTGCCTGAGTAACACTCTCCATAAGGCCCACTAGACGGACCAGAGCATCCTGGAGTACCGGGGTAGCGATGAACCCCTCTGGAATCTGAGGTGGCCCTGCTAGAACGGTCTGGGCCGGAACCTCATCCTCAAATTCTACCTGAGGCTCCGCAGCTGGTGCTGCTACTCTGGGCTGAGCCCTGCCCCTGCCTCGGCCTCTAGCATGGCCTCGGCCTCATCCACTACCTCTCGTAGGAGCTGCCACTGGGGGCTCGGGCTGCTGATCAGCTGATGAAGCGATACGTGTTCTCGTCATCTTCGAAAGAACAGAGTAGAAGTTCAATTAGCATTGAGAAATCAAATCGCACGACAGAGAAGAATAGATGTGGAGTTATTCCTACACTCTGTAGCCTCTAGGGGATAAGCGCAGACGTCTCCGTACCGATCCCTCAGACTCTACCTAGCTTGTTCGTGAATTGTGAGACCTAGGCAACCTAGTGCTTTGATACTAACAGGGCGATATATCTATTTAGTTTTAATTAGTGCTAATTAGTGTTTTTGATTAATGGTTAACGTATTAGAACTGTATTTGTTGGCTTGCCTAGCATTCTCAGCATTAGGCGCCATCACGATCCCGGCGGTGGGAAATCCGGGTCGTGACAAGTATAGATCCATCAACTATTCTACAACAGCGTAAAAGAAACTAAGCAAATTGATATAAAAAAATATAGATCACACGAGTGAAAATATATTAACCAAGCTGGGTATAAGACTCAAGAATAAATTTATGGAAGATTAAATATTCAAAAAAGTAAATCTAAATCATACGAAATGAAACATATTTAATACATTGTAGTTTGCTACTCATAATTTCTACAATACCTTATGTCTTGTTAGTGCATATGCTGAAAATAATTTAGTTTCAATAGGAGTAGCATAATAGGTTTGGTAATTACGATTTTGAATTTAATTACTTGTTGGCTTGTAACCGTTTTCATAATTGCAAGACCCAAGGAAAAATTTAATGCTTTATTATTTTTATACTTAATATATAAATATATTTTTCACATGTAAATTTTTTTGGTACGGTTCGGTATTTTTTCGGTTTATTTTCTTAAAATAAAAAGCCTACCCTAATTATCAGTACAATTATAGATTTATTAAAAACCTATGGGTTGATTAAAAGAAACCTAAAAATCGATTTAGTACGGTCTGGTTTGGTCGGCTTAGTTAGTTTTTAAATATCCATTGACACCCCTAGCCACCGCCTACCGTTATCAACTACCACCACCACCACCATCCGCAACCATAGCCGCCACCCCTACCACCACCCCTACCACCATCATCCTCAACTATAACCACATACTCACCCACCTCAACTACCATAGCCAACCACCCCTTCATCATTAATAACCATAGCTGTCATCGCCCACTATTATCACTACTAAAAAATGAGGTTTTAGCGACGGACAAATTCTGTAGCTAAATAGAAAGATCCATTGCTAATACCATTTAGCGACGGCTTAGCAACAGATTATCAAGAAATTCTGCTAGCTACGAGCGTTTTAGCGACGACGTTCGTAGCTAATTCTAATTTTTTTCGTAGTGTATAAACTACCACCATCCATCATCACCTTTCTCAGTCACAACCACAACCACCACAACCACCACCCACCATTTATTAACTGTCACCACTCGCCACCATCCTCAACCATAATCGCGATCGCTACCAATCACCACTAGCTACTACCCAAAACCACCATCATCAACCAAAATCACCACCAACCACCGTCGGCACTAACAAATACCCCCGTTAGCCATCACCACCACCAATTACCATATATATATATATATATATATATATATATATATATATATATATATATATATATATATATAAAGAGAGAGAATATTAGATTAATTACTATTTTATTTGAATTTTATGTTTATTAATTTTAATTAAAGATAAATTTTATATATTCAAATATTAAAAAAATAAATAGACTTAATCATTTAGTATACAGATCGTAATTCACATCTTGATATTTAGATTTCTATTCAGATATCCTGATCTTAGTACAAATATGTCTTAATCTCAAAAAAAAAAAAAAAAAAAAAAAAAAGGCCAAATGACTTTAAATACGACCACACCACACAGTCCCTTTCAATTTCTCTTTCCCGTTTGAACTTCACGACTTCCGGTGAGCATTGAGTTTCATCCCCACCTCCCTCAAACACATCAATTTTCATTGATGAGATCAATCGGCAACTGTGAAGTCCACGTGTTCCGGCACCGGCAAGATTATAGTCCCCGGCAAGCCACCTTCCTCGGTGATGATCTGGTAAGATGCTACCTTTAACTTTCAGTACGTTGCTTTCTTTGTTTCTACGCAGATTCATACTAGTATTTAGATTAAAGAGCCAATATGGATACCAAATGCCCTTAGTTGAAAATTAGGTTGTTTTACGTCATTTACTGGGCGTGTTGCCTAATTCTTACTCCAGTAATTATAAATGTGAAACACGACAGCAACATGCTAGTTATGCCGGCCCACATCAAGCTACTCAAACAAATTACATTAACTCAGAGTTGAATGCACTTGACTTTTGTGGCCACAATTTGGCGTAGTGCATCTTTTCCCCTTTTTTCTTCTGTTAATTTCTTTTTGGTCAAAGGAAATTACTATTTTTTCCTGTCTTATCCTCCTTTATATTGCTTCTCCTATAGTATTGGATTTTATCGTTCCTCCTCTTCTAACTTTGGTAACTTTTTTAGACCACTACGTTCTGTTTTTCTTTAATGGCAAGTGGCATCATTGTTTGGTTATTGATGATGGCTACATTGAAGTTAAATCCATTGTTGGTAAAGGGTGAACAACAGGTGCCCTGTTTGTTCATTATGGGTGACTCTACATATGATAATGGCAATAACAATAATCTGCTCACTGCTGCAAAGGCCAATTACCCACCTTATGGGATTGATTTTCCTGATGGTCCTACTGGTAGATTCACCAATGGCCGGAATATAGCAGACTTCATTGGTCCTAACTTCTTCTTCTTCTCTTATTATTCTTATGGTCTCTTAAGTTCATGCTTCTTTCGTTAAAATGCTTAGTTTCGTTTGGTTATTTTAGGACTGTGAATTGGGCGTTAGGTGCATGCTATAGGCTCAAACCTGACCAGAGACAAAAGCTTGATATTTAAGTGGGGAAGAATAGAGGATCGGACCCTTAATCTACTGAGTTTCGAACTGTGCTTTCACTAACCTTCGAAGATTTCTCGATTATCAAAGAGTTATTTGAATTTTTTACACAAATGAATAGTTCTTACCGTCTCATATTGCAGAACAATATGTGTGTTTTTGTGTGCTGATAGCACAAAAAAGAATTTTTTATTTTGGAGCGGACCCATAATCTACTGAGTTTCATGGCGCTTTCATTAACCTTCGAAGATTTTCGATTATCAAAAAAAAGTTTCCTTAAAGATTTTACACAAATGAATACTTCTTACCAACTCATATGTCAGAACCATATGTGTGTTTTAGTGACGGTACAAAAAATATATATTTTGGGCTGTCAATATAGCACAGCACGCTCATTTGACACCCTTACAACTTATATGAGTACGCACGATAAATGTGGGCATTTTTGTAGTAATGTTTCAACTAAAGCAACCTCTTAGTAGTGGTACAAAAACCCCCTACTTTAATTGAATATTCCTAAACTGTCACAATGTGGTGGATCCTAACTGAATATTTCCTATATTTGCAGCTGAACTATTGGGTTTCGATAAGTATATTGAGCCATTTGCAACAGTGAAGGGTGTGGAGATGTTTAGAGGGGTGAACTATGCATCTGGTGCTGCTGGAATTCTTGATGAGTCAGGAATTCATCTGGTAATACTTCAACATATCCCTTCTCTAGGAAGAGCATTATTTGTATTTATAACTATTTTAGACTAAAGACAACAATTAGAATACTACCTGATTCATTTTAGAGACATCTTAGCTAAACTATAAGACTCAGATGTGGACTTCGAACTTTAGATAACTCAATTCATCTTTTTTTCAGGGAGATAGAATCAGCTTGAATAGGCAATTGCGAAATCATAAAGTGACAATTTCCCACATGTCTACTTTGCTTGGAAATAATATGACTTTAACCAAAGAGTATCTAAGCAAATGTATATACATTGTTGGAATGGGCAACAATGATTACATCAACAACTACTTGCTGCCTCAGTTCTACCCATCAAGCCTTTTGTACAAACCAGAAAAGTATGCTACAATCCTTATTCAGCAATATGAAAAACAATTAAAGGTATACAAATGCAGTTTCCATCAATCAACTTCTCTCATTTAAGCCTGCAATTCATTCTTTGGTAGCAAAACAGACTTTGTACAGATACGGAGCAAGAAAAGTTGCTGTGTTTGGGCTAGGAGGAATAGGTTGTATTCCAGCAGAGTTGGACTTGTATGGAACAAAGGACTCAGCATGTGTCGATTCAATAAATAAAGCAGTTCAATACTTTGATGACAAGCTTATACCAATGATCGATGACCTCAACAGTAACTTGCCCAACACAGAATTCATCTACGTAAATTCAACAAGCATTGAAATAAGAGATCCTTCATCTATTGGTATGTTAAACATATCACAACTAGACTCGGATCCATGATCTAGAACTTAGTGATTTTAAAATGAATGTGATCTTATTATTTTCATGCCAAAAACAAGGAGTTCAATTGAATATATAGAACCCATCTTAGATGTGCTCCTGATCGCGACACAATTCTATATCTTCACAACAGAATATCATTTGTGGTGGATCATCGTTTTACATATTTTGATAATTTTGGTTGCAGGTATAACAAATCTACTTGCACCGTGCTGCCAAATGTCAAGCACTATAGCTAACGGGCAGTGCAAATATGGAGGAGGTGCATGCAGTGATAGAGCATCACACTATTTTTGGGATGGTTTCCACCCCACAGAAATTCCCAATAGGGTCACTGCTACAAGAGCTTACTCTGCTCTTCTACCCACTGATGTCTATCCTTTTGATATTAGCCACTTGGCTCTGCTCTAAATAATACTATAGACATAGAGTTGTAGCCTGTTAAACTTCGTCAAGCCTTAAATAAACAGCTACTGTGCTGCCACATTTTTGTATAATGCATTTTTTTTTTAATATGTAATGTAATTCATCTTTTTCAAATATGAGTGGAAGTTCTGAATTGGAGCTGCAACTTGAACGCTGTGCCCATAACTTAGCGAATTCTATATATATATATATATATATATATATATATATGGTACTGTTGAAGGGGAGCCTTGGCGTAACTGGTAAAGTTGCTGCCGTGTGACCAGGAGGTCACGGGTTCAAACTGTGGAAATAGCCTCTGGCAGAAATGCAGGGTAAGGTTGCGTACAATAGACCCTTGTAGTCCGGCCTTTCCCCGGAGCTTAGTGCATCGGGTTGTCCTTTATATATATATATATATATATATATATATATATATATATATATATATATATGTATATATGGTACTGTTATACAGCAGAACGGACCACCTATATATTTAATTTTATTGAAATAGTACGATAAATTATAATAATATTGATACCAAGAGTCACGTGTTTTGGCTAACTACTCTGGTGGTGGAGTCAAATTGGTGGAAGGGGTTCAACTGAATCCCGTTGTAGATACTATTAAGGATATAGACACAGTTAAAGTAGTTAAGTAGTTGTAGAGTAGAGGGTATTTTATGTAAATAGTGGATTGGTTAGTTTAGGCGGTTAGTACAATATTAAAACATGTACTATAGCTTTCTTCTTCATTCTAATAGAACAGTTCCTTCTTCTTCTCTCAACCTCTCTTCTCTCTACGACTGAGCTTAGCTCAAGCATTTCCATGGTTGTCTTCGACATGGTATCAGAGCTATCGAAGAAGATCTAAACACGCCTCTTCGTCACTCAATTGCAGAAGCTAAAGCTCAGTTGGAAGATAAACAATATCTCGAAATTCTGATTTTCTCTTCGATTCAGAAATGGGGGAAAATAAGATTGACCACATGCATCCTCTGTTCGTGCATCCATCAGAGACTCCGAGCTCAGTGCTAATTCCGGTTCAGCTCAAAGGATCCGAGAATTATGGCCTATGGCGGAGATCGATGAAGATTGAATTTCAAGCTAAACGAAAGCTAGGGTTTGTTGATGGTAAGCACACTAAGGCCTGGTTTCCTACAACACTGCATGAGGATTGGGAAACTTGTAATGCCATAGTCCTTTCATGGATTATGAACACTGTATCGCCAGATCTACTTAGTGGAATAGTGTATGCATCAAATGCTCGAGCTGTGTGGGAGGATCTTCGTGAGAGATTTGACAAGGTCAATCGCATGAGGATCTATCAGTTGCATAGGGAAATTGCAACAATATCCCAAGGTACCGATTCTGTATCTACACATTTTACAAAGCTAAAGGAACTGTAGGGGGAATTTGATGCAATTGTGCCGCCTCCTAACTCTGTGAAGGACTATGTTGAGATCTTGAGTCAACAGAGGTTGCTTAAGTTTTTGGGAGTTTAGATGACTCATATAGTCAGGAAAGACGTCAAATTCTTATGAAATCTACGGAACCTAGTCTAAATCAAGCATATGCCATGGTCATCGAGGATGAGACTCAAAAAGGATCATCAGGGCACAACTCTGCAGTTCTCAACTCACTAATGGAGGGTAATGACATTACTGCACTTTGGAGTGCTAAAGGACCTCAGATGCAGAAGCCTAGGAAGAATTTCAATATAATGTGTGATTTCTGTAAAACGAAAGGACACAGCAAAGAGAATTGCTATCAGTTAGTTGGATATCCACCATATTTCAAGGGCAGAAGAAAGCCAGTGGCTAACTCAGCACATTTTGGTAACTCTGCACAACTAGGGAATCATGGACATCATCAAGGAATGGGAAATAGCTCAGGAAATGGTCACACTAGTTATGGAGCTACACGACCCTTAGGTCCAAATATTATTTTACATCAATGCAGGTTATACAGGATCACCAGGTGGTTTTGCAGGTGCAGAGAAAGATGCAAGGCTGAGCATGCAGATGCCAATGCCATTCACTCCAGAACAATATGACCAAATTCTGAAGATGCTACAAAAGGACAGTACACTTGAATCAACAGCTAATGCAGCAGGTATAACTGGCCCTCCAATACTTGCAAATGTAGTTAGTGTAACTCACTCGACTGATAGTAAAGCAAATGATGATAAGTGGATAGTAGATACAGGGGCAACAAACCACATGGTGTCAAATAGTGAAATGATCTCTAAGCCTAAAGAACAGTCTAAAAGTATAGGAGGAAAAGTTCATTTGCCAAATGGAGATAGCTTGGCCATTTCTTGTGTAGGAAGCTCTGAATTAGATCAAGGGATTATATCCAATGTGCTTTGCATATCAGGTTTTAAATACAATTTGCTGTTAGTATCAAAACTGACTAGTGAGCTAAACTGCTGTATGATATTCTTTCCTGACTTTTGCCTCATGCAGGACCTTCACACTGGGAAGGTGAAGGGAACTGGTAGGTTGAAAGGAGATCTATACTATTGGCCTCATAGTGATAGAGATAAGATTCAAGCCTCAACAGCATCGTGTGTGACCAATGAAGAAGAGCTATGGCACAGAAGACTTGGGCACATTCCACATAAGGTTCTACAGCAAAATGCATATAATAAAGTGTAATAGGTTGCATAGTTATAACGTGTGTCCTATTTGTCCCTTGGCAAAATAGACAAGATTTCCTTTTCCAGAAGTACTAGTAGAGCTTCTAAAATATTTGATTTGACACATGGTGATGTATGGGGTCCATATAGAACCCCTACATATGATGGAAATAGATTTTTTCTCACTTTAGTAGATGACTATAGTAGAATGGTTTGGATATTTCTGCTCAAGCTTAAAAGTGATGTACCTACTGTAATAAAAGACTTCATGACTCTTGTGAAGACTCAGTTTAACAGTGTAAACAAGGTATTCAGGACAAATAATGAACAGGGTTCTTTAATTCATATTGTGCAGATATGTTTAGGAATGCAGGTGTGGTCCATCAAAGTACCTGTGTCTATACACCCCAGTAGAATGGAGTGGTAGAAAGGAAACATAGGCAGATTCTTGAGGTTGCAAGAGCCATCAAGTTTCAGGGAAGCATTCCACTGAAATTCTGGGGTTTTTGTGTGCAGAATGCAGTATATCTGATCAATAGAATTCCATCCACAACATTAGAAGGGAAATTACCTTTTGAAATGTTCTATGGTCGACTACCTAAGGTGCAACATCTCAGAGTGCTGGGTAGCCTCTACTGTGCTACTACCACTGATAGAGGTGACAAATTTGGAGCTAGAGCAGAACCGGCAGTGCATATGAGATATTCATCCACTCAAAAGGGTTATAGGCTATATAGTCTCGCTAACAAACATTTTTTTCTAAGCAGGGATGTATCTTTCAAGGACTACACTTTTCCTTTCAAACCACAGCTTCCACATGCAGGAGGACCACCGCTAAGCAGTTTATTGATACAAATGATGCCTTCATCATTGATCCTACTCCTGAGGTCTCAGAGACTGCTCTTGATTCAGTAATAACACCTCCACCTTCTCCTGAGGCTTCCTCAACTCCTAGTCCTACTGCCCCATCTTCTGAAGACTTGGCACAACCTCACCTTACATCACCTCCTGCAGCAGTAATGCCACATCCAACTTCCAGAAGAGGGGCTAAGAAAGTCTACTCGGACTTCCAGGACACCTGGATGGCTCAGTGACTTTGTTCATGGCATGCCAAAAACTGGCCCTTCTACTGCCTTGAGTTCCAATTACCCAATGTCTGCTTACTTGTCCTATGCTTCATTATCTTCACCTTACTTTAAGGCTCTTTGCTCTTTCTCTGTTATTACAGAACCAACTTCTTATGCTGATGCCCTTCGAGATCCCAAGTGGATTGCAGCCATGGATGCAGAGTTACAAGCCCTACAGGACAACCACACCTGGGAGTTAGTTCCCTTGCCACCTGACAAGAGAGCTATAGGGTGTAGATGGGTGTTTAAGGTGAAATATAATGCCAAAGGTGAGGTGGAAAAGTATAAAGCTTGCTTAGTGGCCAAAGGTTACACACGACAAAAGGGTCTTGATTATCAAGAAACCTTCTCCCCTGTGGTGAAAATGGTCACAGTGAGGACTGTCTTGCCCTTAGCAACTATGCATGGATGGAAGTTGCATCAAATTGATGTCTTCAATGCTTTTCTTCAAGGTGATTTGCTGAAAGAAGTGTATATGAATCCACGTCCTGGTCTTCTAGGTGAGGGGGAGCCTTCTAGAGTTTGCAAGCTTCAGAAATCCTTGTATGGGCTGAAGCAGGCCTCTAGGCAATGGAACTTGAAGCTCAGTGAGGCCCTTTCTTCCTCAGGTTTTGTGCAGATCCATCACGATTATTCCCTCTTCAGTAAGAGGTCAAGTTCTGGTTTGGTCATCATCCTGATCTATGTGGATGATCTCTTGATCACTGGCTAATCTCCTCAATTAATTCAGGATGCCAAAGCTGTCCTCCAACATCACTTCAAGATCAAGGACCTGGGGGAGATGAGATACTTCCTTGGTCTTGAAGTTGCAAGGAGCAGACATGGCATTTTGGTTTGTCAATGGAAGTTCACACTTGACCTCACTGCCACACTTGGATTTGCAGGTTCTAAACCAGCCTGCACACCTGTAGACATAAGCCATAAGCTCACCAGTGCAGAGTATGATCAAGCCAATGCTCATGGAGATGTAGATGTTGATGAGTTACTTAATGATCCAAGCAGCTATCAGAGATTAGTTGGGAAGCTGCTGTATCTTACCATGACAAGGCCAGACATCAGTTATGCTGTACAAAATTTAAGCCAGTTCATGCACAAGCCAAATAAGTCACATTGGGAAGGAGCAATGAGAGTGGTAAGGTACCTAAAGAATGCACTAGGGCTGGGGATTCTACTATCATCTCAGCCTTCTAACCAGCTCACAGTGTATTGTGATGCAGATTGGGCTACTTGCCCAATGACTAGAAGATCAGTGAGTGGGTTTGTGATAAAACTAGGAGACTCTCTTATCTCCTGGAAGTCCAGGAAACAGAATACAGTGTCAAGGAGCTCTGCAGAAGCTGTGTATAGAAGCATGGCCAATGCTATAACAGAAGTAGTCTGGTTA